GCTTTTTATCTTGATGAAGTCCCAATAGTTCATTTTTGCCCTTGCTTCCCTTGCCTTTGGCGATGTTTCTAGGGAGAAGTTGCTGCAGCTGAGGTCGAAGAGGTTGCGGCCTGTGTTCTCCTTTAGGATTTTGATGGACTTCTGTCTCACATTGAGGTCTTTCAACCATTTGGAGTCTATTTTTGTGTGTGGTGTAAGGAAATGGTCCAGTTTCATTCTTCTGCATGTGGCTGTCCAATTTTGCCAACACCATTTGTTGAAAAGACTGTCTTTTTTCCATTGGACATTCTTTCCTGCTTTGTTGAAGGGTCCATTTCTGGGCTCTCTATTCTGTTCCATTGATCTATGTGTCTGTTTTTGTGCCAGTACCATACTGTCTTGATGATTACAACTTGGTAATAGAGCTTGAAGTCTGGAATTGTGATGCCGCCAGCTTTGCTTTTCTTTTTCAACATTCCTCTGGCTATTCGGGGTCTTTTCTGGTTCCATACAAATTTTAGGATTATTTGTTCTATTTCTTTGAAAAAAGTGGATGGTATTTTGAAAGGGATTGCTTTAAATGTGTAGATTGCTCTAGGTAGCATTGACATCTTCACAATATTTGTTCTTCCAATCCATGAGCATGGAACGTTTTTCCATTTCTTTGTGTCTTCCTCAATTTTCTTTCATGAGTATTTTATAGTTTTCTGAGATTCTTTGCCTCTTTGGTTAGATTTATCCCTAGGTATCTTATGGTTTTGGGTGCAATTGTAAATGGAATCGACTCCTTAATTTCTCTTTCTTCTGTCTTGTTGTTCATGTATAGGAATGCCACTGATTTCTGTGCATTGATTTTATATCCTGCCACTTTAGTGAATTCCTGTATGAGTTCTAGCAGTTTGGGGGTGGAGTCTTTTGGGTTTTCCACATAAAGTATCAGTATCCAAAATCTATAAATAACTTACCAAATTCAACACCCAAAGAACAAATGATCCAATCAAGAAATGGGCAGAAGACATGAATGGACATTTTTCCAAAGAAGACATCCAAATGGCCAACAGACACATGAAAAAGTGCTCAACATTGCTCAGCATCAGGGAAATCCAAATCAAAACCTCCATGAGATACCACCTCACACCAGTCAGAATGGCTAAAATTAACAAGTCAGGAAACGACAGATGTTGGCGGGGATGTGGAGAAAGGGGAACCCTCCTCCACTGTTGGTGGGAATGCAAGCTGGTGCAGCCACTCTGGAAAACAGTATGGAGGTTCCTCAAAAAGTTGAAAATAGAGCTATCCTATGACCCAGCAATTGCACTACTGGGTATTTACCCCAAAGATACAAATGTAGGATCCGAAGGGGTATGTGTACCCCGATGTTTATAGCAGCAATGTCCACAATAGCCAAACTATGGGAAGAACCAAAATGTCCATTCACAGATGAATGGATAATGAAGATGTGGTACACACACACACACACACACACACACACACACACACACACACAGGAATATTATGCAGCCATCAAAAGGAATGAAATCTTGCCATTTGCAATGACGTGGGTGGAACTGGATGGTATTATGCTGAGCTAAATAAGTCAATCAGAGAAAGACATGTATCATATGAGCTCACTGATAATGAGGAATTCTTAATCTCAGGAAACAAACTGAGGGTTGCTGGAGTGGTGGGGGTTGGGAAGGTAGGGGTGCCTGGGTCATAGACATTGGGGGAAGTATGTGCATTGCTGAGTGCTGTGAACTGTGTAAGACTGTTGAATCACTGTACCTCTGAAACAAATAATACATTATATGTTTAAAGAAAAGAAGACAGTAGGAAGGGAAAAATGAAGGGCGGGAAATCGGAGGGGGAGATGAACCATGAGAAACTATGGACTCTGTGAAACAAACTGAGGGTTCTGGAGCTGTGGGGGGATGGGTTAGCCTGGTGATGGGTATTAAAGAGGGCATGTACTGAATGGAGCACTGGGTGTTATATGCAAACAATGAATCATGGAACACTATATCAAAAACTAATGATGTCATGTATGGTGATTAACATAACATAATAAAATAAAATAAATAAATTTAAAAAATTAAAAAAAAAACCCAAAAAACAAAATAAAGGAAAGTATCAAAGTAGCAGTACAAACTAAAATATACTCAGGAATAAATCTAACAAAACATGCTAAGGAGAAAATAATTATGAGAGATTACAGAACTTAATTATACTTAATAAATGTAGAAATATACTAGGTTTTTGCTTGTTTTCACTTAATATCATAAATACATAAATTCTCCCCAAACTGATGTTCAAATTCAATATATATTTAATCTCATTCTATTCTTTCATCTTTCCTCTACAAAAAAAAAAAGTGCAGTAGAATATCTGAAGAATCCTGGGGTAGGGCTGAATTTTTTAAATAAAAAAAGGTAAAATTCAAGTAAATAAAAAGTCTGGTAAATTTTGCCATAATAATAATAAAAAAAGAAATTTCTGTGTAACAAAATTTCCAACCAAAGTTAAAGTATAAGGGACAGATTGGAACAAGACAATAAATCCACATGTAAGTATAAGAATTATTTATCTAGGAAAACTAGAGCCTGTACAAATTAACAGGAGAAAGAATCTAAAAGAAAAATGGACAAAAGTTACCAATAAGTAAATCACAAAAGGGAAATTTGAATGTTAGAAAAAAATAGAGAGATATATATTCTACAAGATACCTTTGGTAGTAATATAAATTAGAACTACGAGACACCATTTCACACTTCTCAAATTAAAATATTTGAAATGTACAATGTGCCATTATTTGTGAGACAAAGACAAGAAAACAACTTAAGTGTCTATCGGTATGGAACTTGGCTATTTATAGTGATATACTCATATGGTGGAGAATTATCAGTTGCTAAAAGAATGTGCTATCTATGTGTGTCAACGTGGATAGATCTCAAATATCCTGTCATGGGTGATGGATTGAGTCTAATCTTACGGTGTTTATCTCCATATTCAAATTTTCTAAAATAATTTAGAATAAGTATACTGTAAAATCAACCATATACAATTACAAAATAAAATACCCAAAACATCATTTATAATTATATTTTAAGCACACATTATGACCTAAGCATAGTTTGCTTATAATCATTTTATAGATACTCATTTTACTAATCCTCACTGCAACCACATGATTAGCTGCTTTTAATTCCCACAAGTCGAGAAACTGAAGCACAGAATAGGCAAGCAACTAATATAAAGTCTCAGAGCTTATAAGTCATATATCCAGGATTCTAATCGAGGCAGTCTGACTGCAGAATCTGATCCACTATATTATGTGTTAAAATATGCAAAGGGTAAATTTTAAAAGAATATGCAGCAGAATTAACATGTTTCTGCAGTGTTTTAATTTTTTTAAAGTAGCATGTAGTGGTTTCCCACATCCTAGCCAAAAAGCCAAAAAATTAAAAATTAGAAGATTAAAGAATTTGAAACAAGAGAAAGTACATAGTTCATGTTTTATATAATACCAGGTATTAGAAATTGAATTGAATTTCTAACGTCTATTAATGCAGGTATAACTCTGTAAAATTGCTTTGGAAAACAATTTGTTATTACCTTAAAATGTACAGATTAGTAATTGTCTATGAATGTATTTTGGTGTTTTATCTGTACGTTAGGAAATACCCACAAGAATGATCATTGCAGCATAGTTTGTACTAGCAAAAACCAAAACAGAACAAAACAACAACAAAAAAACCCATCTGAATGCCTTTTGAAAGAAGAGGATGGGGGCGCCTGGGTGGCTCAGTCGTTAAGCGACTGCCTTCGGCTCAGGTCATGATCGCAGGGTCCTGGGATCGAGCCCTGCATCGGGCTCCCCGATCCGCGGGAAGCCTGCTTCTCCCTCTCCCACTCCCCCTGCTTGTGTTCCCTCTCTCATTGTGTCTCTGTCAAATAAATAAATAAAATCTTTAAAAAAAAAAAAAAAGAAAGAAGAGGATGTAGAATGAATTGTGATGTAGATATATAATTGCATATTATGTAGCATTAAATTTATTTAAGTATAGCTTCCTGTAACCTTATGCCAGAATTTTAACAGTAATTGGCAATTAAGTCTACCAAACAAATTCCAGAAAACACAATTAAGATTTTGTCCTTTTAATAAAGACTCAAAATTAGGCATATGTATAGTATCATAAAAACTTAAAAAAATTAAGCAAGAGGATGATAAAAACTAAATTCAAGGCAGCAGTTACCTCTGAGGGGAGGGTAGGGAGATGAGTTTTGGAAACAGCGCAAGGGCAAAATTTGAGTAACCAGTTGAACTGTGGAATTTTCTCTCAAGCTGCTATTATTTTTTATAATCTTTGTGTTATGTACTTTGTATTTTTATTCAGCATGGTAAGCTTAACTTAAAAACTGTTGAGTCTGAATGTTTTTTGATTGATGATTCATTATTCATCACTTGTGCTTTCAATGTGAACTTCAGGAAAGGACCAGTTCTATACTGTAGAACAATTTTGGCATGATTTCATTCAAAAGGAAGCCAAATTTGTAATAGTTTTTTTTTTTTTAAAGATTTTATTTATTTATTTGACAGAGAGAGACACAGCGAGAGAGGGAATACAAGCAGGGGGAGTGGAAGAGGGAGAAGCAGGCTTCCCGCTGAGCAGGGAGCCCGATGCGGGGCTCGATCCCAGGACCCTGGGATCATGACCTGAGCCGAAGGCAGACGCTTAACGACTGAGCCACCCAGGCGCCCCTGTAATAGTTTTTTTTTTAAGGTAACAAATTTATTTTATAGAGCCTATGAAATTCTCATCTCATAGAGCCTGGGAAAAAATATTCAATAATTTTAAAATTTGATCAATCATTGCTTTTTTATATATTTTGCTTCTTTAGATTGTAATTAAAATCTCTACTAATAGGAATAATATGAAGTATTATCAATAGGAAAATAGCTAATGAGTATTTTTTTTAACATTTCTTTTTTTTTTAAAAAGATTTTATTATTTATTTGACAGAGAGAGAGAGAGAGCGTGTACAAGCAGGGAGAGCAGAGGGAGAGGGAGAAGCAGACTCTCTGCTGAGCAGGGAGCCCAATGCAGTCTCCATCCCAGGACTCTGGGATCATGACCTGAGCTGAAGGCAGATGCTTAACTGACTGAGCCACCCAGGTGCCCCTTTATTTAACATTTCTATAGAAAAATATATCACAGAAAAATATATTTTAATCATCTTAAAATTCTTAACACTTCATATTGTCTTAATATGATAACTTGTACATAATTCCAATCTTTAGAAAAATCACTAGTTACTCTACTTTTATCTTGAATATTAATACTGGTTTCCTTTCTCTACAGGACACAGAAAATATGTATTTTAATTACTTGAACTTCTGGCACTTTGTATTACATTGATTCAACATTTAGGACACAATGTGATGTCACTATCATACAGAATTTTGCAATTGCCTGTCAACAGAATGGGAGGTATTTCTTACAGAATGTTAACCGTATTTCCTAATTATCTCAGAAAGGGGAATAACACCTCATCAAAGAGACTTTTTTTTATGTTCAAACATTTTTATCATTCATATTCTTTAGAAGAAAATCAATATTCGGCAGCCTTTGGGAATAGTCAGATGTCCTTGCAATTTGTGGATACTGTGCCTCAAGTTGCTATGTTCACAAATGGTTTTTTGAAATGGTAAGTTAGGTTAAACTGCTCAGAAGAAATGAATGATATAATATGGGAAAAATTAACTAGAGAACCAATAGCATAAGTCTTCATTTGAAAATTCTGAGCATAAAAAGACTCCGAAGGAGCATTCTAACACAGGGAAGGAGGGCAAAGATATTTTTATATGGCTTTAGCAACAGAGGTTAGTTGAAGTTCTTGTGGATTAAGCCTTTGTATGAGCAATTTTGAGAGATGGGAGGAAAACTATGCACAAAGTTCACATACAAGAGGCAATGGGGAGAAAAAACTCAGAGAGGCCAAGGACATCTGAGGATCACAGTGGGAAATTCTCAGTCAGTGTCTTGTAAATAAATGTGTAAATACACATACACACATTCACATACTCACTTATATACTCCTATGTATTACATATGTATACTTTTTGTGTATATATTTTGTATATATAAGTGCATATATATTATGATCTGTGATCTTTGTATTCTTTTAAAATTAAGATAAAAAGATAAAAATTAAAAAATTAAGAAACATGATAAGGAAAGTATTTTATTATCTTATTTGTTAGTACTTTTTTTGTAGCTATTTTGAATGGTTATGTCCATTAAAAATAGATAGCTATGAATATTAAGGGTTGAGAATATCACTTATTTCTTCCTCCTCCTTTCTCTCCCCTTCCTTCCTTCCTCCCTTCCTTCCTTCCTTCCTTCCTTCCTTCCTTCCTTCCTTCCTTCCTTCCTTCCTTCCTTCCTTCCTTCCTTTCCTTTTTCTCTCTTCCTTCCTCTTCTTTCTTCGGTTCTCTTCCTTCCTCTCTCCTTCCTTCCTTCCTTCCTTTTTTTTTTTTTTTAAAGATTTTATTTGTTTGACAGAGAGAGACACAGGGAGAGAGGGAACACAAGCAGGGGGAATGGGAGAGAGAGAAGCAGGCTTCCCGCAGAGCAGGGAGCATGCTTAATGACTGAGCCACCCAGGCGCCCCTCTTTCTTTCTCTTAATAAGAGACCAGTGTGGGGAAATACAAACCAATTATACTACTACTAAGACCAGTAATTTCTTAATGGCTGGTTTATTAGAAATAAATGCATTTAAAATTTTCTTCTTATATTCGAATAACCCAACAATGAACAGTCCAAGCCAAAAGAGTGAAAATTTATTTCTCTTGAACTGATTTTTTTTCTGTAGCTGAATGATCATGAACATTATTTTCCACCTTGTATTTTATTTCATTAGAGGTTTGTAATATGCATTTTTATTTGATCCAGAATATTTACTTGTGTGTTTTGTTTTTTAGAATGAAAAACATTTACGGCATGCCTTGCCTGCCTACATAATTGATTACCAGAAGTCACAGGAAACAGAAATATGGTTATTTGAAACTAAACTTGGGAGACATGCAGAAAGGTAACAACACATTTATTTGGAAACTAAAGTTCAGCATCTAGGAAATATAGTTTTAATGATTTGTTGCTTCTGGAAGACAAACATTTCCTTTCACAGCATCCATGTTCTTACTGATTAGATAGACTTACATCTTTAGGATGTATTCTCCATCAAGATGCATAGCACTGAAGCAGGAAGAGCCTTGCTAAATTTATTGATTACAAAACCCTAGTCATTTTCTTTTCTTTCTTTTTAAATTTTATTTATTCATTTGAGAGAGAGAGAGCATGAGCAGGGGGAGAGGCAAAGGGAGAAGCAGGCTCCCCACTGAGCCAGGAGCCCAAACCCTAGTCATTTTCTAAAAAGAAAAAAACAAAACAAAACAAAAACCCAACTTTGTATAAAATATACACTAAAATTGAAGACAATTACTGTGTTAATTTTAAGATATCAAATTTTTATTTTTAAAATATACGAAGGACCACTGAGGAATTTTATTCTAAGAAGATAAGAATTTTTCAGTATTTTGGAGAGGAAAGATATCTATAGAGCTAATCAATGGAAGCTAAGTAATCGATTCTGTGGTAATCTCTCATGAAGAATATGACCTAAGTCAATGGTTATTCTACCCTTTTGGTTTCTTGAAACACATCATCTGACATTGTTTTCCCTTCAACAGATCATTCTTTTTGGAAGAGTAGATATGATGTGATGATGTAATCAGGGTCCTATGACTCTGGATTAAATATGCTTACAAGCAAGATATTTAGTTTCTCCTGTATCTAGCAACTTATTAGGCATCTCCACATTAATTTTTAATAGGCACTGCAAACTTAACATGGCTTAAACAGATCCTTACCCCAAACCCACTCCATTGGAGTATTCCCCATGTCAGTTAATGGCATCTCTCTTCTTACAGTTGTTTAGGACAAAAACCTGGGAGGTGTCCTTGACTTCACTCTTTTCCTTATTCCCCACATGTCATTCACCAGTCATCCTGTCACTATTCACCAATTTCTCACCATCTCCATCACTATGACATTAATTTAAGACTATCATCTCTTCCATGGACAAATGCAGTGGGCTAGCATACATTAACCTACTTATATTTCTCCTTCTGTTCTTGATCTCATATGATTTACTTTCTACACAGTAATCAGAGTGATCTTTTAAAAATATAAATATGATGTCATGTTATCACTGTACTCATAACTCTGTGGAAGTGTGTTAATCAATCTTAGAATAAAATTCCTATAAACCCTACATAATATGTAGACACTAAACAAACATCTTGAAATGAATGAATGAGGTTCAGTGACTTGTCTAATTAACATTGTAAGTTTTTAGGAGAAGCTAAGTTTTTTGAGACCATGATACCCTGCCAAAGAGCAAGATTTCTTAAATCTGTATAGCTACCTCCTGCTCTTATTTATTTATCTTGCTGAACTTTTCAATTTTTTGCACTTTTCCAACCTTTCCCAAATACAGACATTGTAGTGATAATATTGTTTAGTAGTAGTAGTTCATAATTACTAACCTATGAGAAGATAGCTGTTGAACATCAGATAAATACACAGTATTTATCTCATTTGTGGCCACTGAAAAATGTCTGACCTGACAGCACTAAGGAATTTACAGATTAATTATTCAGAGACTTGCAAATTAGTCATGGCTTATGTAGACTTATTAGTAAGTATACAGATCCAGAGGAGAAATAGTTGTTAATATTAAAATGGCGCTTAGAACCTAGTGAGATACAGTGCATTCTCATTTTCCATTAGACATATTCCAACTGTTCTTTTCACTTCTTAGGCATTTCTTTGATAATTTTTCTTTAATTTTTTTAAAGATTAAATTTTAATATTGATATTATTAATGGAAAAAAAAAGAAACTCCTTTTTCTAGGGTTAAATATCACCTAGGCTTTGAATATTGTCTCTTGTAATCACTAGGCTTTAAAAACAAATTTTATTGTAGGTGCATCAAACCTTGTCCTTGCTTCAGAATCTGTGGCTGGAAGGAGCTGACAGCTGAAGTGTCCTTTGCTCTGTTTCAGGCTCTGTGATACTAAAACTCTGTAAAAAAAGTTACATGATGCACAAGACTGTGAAAGCCTAAATACATGCACCAAAAATCATAACACACAGGTGAGATTCCTTCAAAAATTAATATTTAATTTTACTTTTAAAGATGTGACAGTGCTTATGAGTAGTAGCCAAAGGTGTAAACACCTCATCAAACAGAAAATATGTGTTTGTTATGTGTTTGCTTAATAAACATTGGTATAAGTGTATTGATCATATTTTTATGAAAGCATATAGGACTCTTTTCAAAACAAGTTAAGATTTTATTCCCTTATGGTGAGCTTGTCACCTCTTTCTTCCCTGACCAAAGAATAAATATCTATTTATTCTTGACTCGGCTGATCCTCACTGCTGCTCAAATTTCATAGGCCAATTTCAAGGCATAGGTGGTAATATCACACAGGAGATTTAGCTTTTATAAAAGCTCTTAGGAAAGGTGTTACTGGTGGCAATGATTATGGTGGTGATCAAGATATCTAGCCATCTACTCTGTTGCTTAGAAGGCACATTTTCTGTTAGGAAGACCAATAATAATGGTGATATTACTATTAATAGCAGTTAACTTTTATTGAGTCTTTATTATATGCTCATACCAGGTTCATTATTCACAGTATCATTAATTTTTACAGCCATTTGGCACATTAGATATTCTTGTTATCCTGCTTTATAGGTGAATAAGAGTGAAACAGCTAATTGATGGGCAGAGTTGGGATACAAACCCAAGTTTTTTTTGTTTGTTTCTGCTGGTATAGAGATCTTATCTCCTACTCAGCCCTGGTCTTCCACATAGGAACATGTATGACAATATAAAGCTTATCACTTTTCTTGTATTGCTGCTTTGAGATTGTAAATAAATACATAGTAGACATACCTCTAATGGGTGACCATCCTCCACCATTTTAAAAAATGCAAGTATTAGGGGCACCTGGGTGGCCAGTCATTAGGCATCTGCCTTTGGCCCAGGTCATGATCCCAGAGTCCTGGGATGGAGCCCCGCATTGGGCTCCCTGCTCAGCGGGAAGCCCGCTTCTCCCTCTCCCACTCCCCCTGCTTGTGTTCCTTCTCTCACTGTGTCTCTCTCTGTCAAATAAATAAATTAATTAATTTAAAAAAATGCAAGTATTAGATACAGTGAATGCTAGGCTCTATTTATTTTAAAAAATCTTCACTCAGGCAAAATGACTAGTTATACTGCTTAGAAAAATAAATTATATGCTTATTAAATTTTTTCTTAAAATGATTCTGAAAAAATAAATCTATCATATGGGAAAGCTATGGATAAGATAATTTAAGATACTGTTATTGCATATCTGAATTTTTACATTGTCTATCTGTAGGTTGATACTTTCTAAATTCATGTTTTTCTAGGACTCGAGGAATCACCAACACTAAATAAAGCAGCAGATCTTTGCAGAATGAACTGCCTTAGTGAGATTTTCCTTCAATACTTACCTCTGTTTCAAAGAGCTAAGAATAAAATTATTACTTCTATTTGGGACAGAACACTTATACCATTTCTAAAAATGGTAAGTCAACTACATGGAAATTCACAAACATTTTAAATTCAATAAAGCAAAAGTTTAAAGGCATAATACTTTGCTTTTCTAGATACTGTTTTTTTTTAATATGCATCTTAAAAATTGCTACCAGCAAACAATGAATGTTTCTAGGAAAAATAGTTCCATCATATATAAAAGTACTCAACAGAGAAAGTATTTCAGCCACATATAAAATGATACATATTCCTAAGAATTCCAGATAATAGTATAATTTTTTTGAAGAAACAATACTATTGATATACATTTACATTAAGGTAATAATTTACATAAATTGTGTGCTTATACTTTGTTAATTAAAACAGAGAAAAAGGAATGTAAAAGTCATTTGTCAGCTATTGTGAAACTAAAGAATCTTGGTTTCCATATTTAGCATAGTGTTTCCCAGGTTGATATTATTTTTGTATAGTTTATTGCAATCTCATTTTGGATTGACACTTTAGCTCAAGAAAAAGGATACATTTTGGAGTGGATTTTAACCAAAGAACATGAGGTTGTTGTCTCATGGAGTTGAAGAATGAATCTCACAGACAAAGGAGAGTGAGTAAATCGATAGAATTTTATTAAGTGAAGATACAGAAAAAGCTCTCAGGAGTGAGAGGGGTCCCGAGAGGGTTGCCACTGAGGGCTTTTAAGGTTGGTCTTTTATAGAAAGCTAACCAGGGAACTTAAATCATTTTAACATCTCTATTGATAGCACCTTGGAGTAAGGACTAGTGATAACACCTTCAATGGCTTACTTCCTTTTTAAGGTCCAGTAATTCTCTGTTGGTCACAAGTAGCTGTTATAACAAGACCCCACCTCTGACACCTAGGACAGGATGGTCTGGTTTGTTTCCTTATCTCTGGTTTCCTTACACATCCACATTTTTGGGATTTTTGTAAGCCTGATCCCATAGCCCCATACCTATCTCTCCCTACCTAGTCCCTGCCTGTCCCTTATTCAAACATCATGTAATATGTTGTTATAATAACTTAAGCCTACTAAGAGAATTATTCCCATTGCCTTAGCACAGTATAAGATAAAGGGATACTAAGTTACATGAAGCTAAAGCAATGTCTTTGTGAAATATTGAGAAACCCATATAATACAATACATTAAAGCATGGCTGTGTAGTTGTAAAACTACATTGTTGATTTTATTATCTAGTTGCTGTCAGCACAGTATCACTGTGCATGCAGATGACATTCCATTGTATACTTAAGAAATCCCGTCTGGTATGTACTTGTGTTTTATTTAGGTCTAACCAATGAAATGATGCCATAAACATTTTTAAAATAATTCATTTATTTTTAAAATTTTATTATTTCTTTCTTGATATATAGTTGACATACAATGTTATGTTAGTTTTAGGTGTATGCCATAGTGAATCAACAGTTTTGTACATTACTCAGTGCTCATTATGATAAGTGTAGTTACCATCCGTCATCATATGATGCTATTACAATACTATTGGCTATATTCCCTATGCTGTACTTTTCATCCCCATGACTTGTTCACTTTATAGCTGGAAGTTTGTACCTCTTATTTCCCTTCACCTATTTCACCTATTCTCTTGCCCCATTCCAGCAATCACCAGTTTGTTCTCTGTATTTATGTCTGTTTTTGTTTTTTTGTTTTGTTTTTTAGATTTCACAAATAAGTGAAATCATATGGTATTTGTCTTTGTCTGTCTGACTTCTTTTTTTTTCTTTCCAATTTTATTTAAATTCCAGTTAGTTAATATACAGTGCGATTTTAGTTACAGGGGTAGAATTTAGTAATTCATCACTTACATACAACAAGTGCCCTCCTTTATCCCCATCACCTGTTTAACCCATTCCTCACCCACCTCCTCTCCCATAACCATGTTTATTCTCCAATATTAAGAGTCTGTTTCTTGGTTTTCCTTTCTCCCCCTTCCAATATTCATTTATTTTGTTTCTTAAATTCCACATATGAGTGAAATCACATGGTATTTGTCTTTCTCTGACTGACTTATTTCGCTTAGCACAATACTCTCTAACTCCATTCACATCATCGCAAATGGCAAGATTTTATTTTTTTTTATGGCTTTGTAGTACTTTGTTGTAGATATATACCACATCTTCTTTATCCGTTCATCAACTGATGAATGCTTGGGCTGCTTCTATATCTTGGCTGTTGCAAATAATGCTGAAATAAACATAGGGATCTATATACCTTTTTGAGTTAGTGTTTTGATTTTCTTGGGGTAAATACTCAGCAATGGAATTACTGAATCATATGGTATTTCTATTTTTAATTTTTTGAGGAACCTCCATGTTGTTTTCCATAGTGGCTGCACCACTTTACATTCCCACCAACAGTGCATTGACTGTTCCTTTTTCTCTTTATCCTCACCAACACTTGTTATTTCTTGTCTTTTTGATACTAGTAATGCTGACTGATATGAGGTGATATCTCATTTTGGTTTTGATATGCATTTCCCTGGTGATTAGTGATGTTGAGTGTCTTTTCACCTGTCTGTTGGAATGTATATCTTCTTTGGATAAATGTCTATTCAGGTTCACTTCCCATTTTTTTTTAAAGATTTTATTTATTTATTTATTTGAGAGAGAGAATGAGAGAGAGAGAGCACATGAGAGGGGGGAGGGTCAGAGGGAGAAGCAGACTCCCTGCTCAGCAGGGAGCCTGATGTGGGACTCGATCCCGGGACTCCAGGATCATGACCTGAGCCGAAGGCAGTCGCTCAACCAACTGAGCCACCCAGGCGCCCCTGTTCACTTCCCATTTTTAAAGCAGATTTGTTTCTTTGGTGTTGAGTTGAATAAGTTCTTTATATATTTTGGGTATTAACCTCTTACCTGATATATCATTTCCAAATATCTTCTCCCATTTAGCAGGTTACCATTTTGTTTTATTTTTCTCAGTTAAAGAAATGTGAATTTTTCATCCTAAAACAATTAGAGGCTAGACATAATTGGAATGTGAATTTCACTGGCCTGCCTGACTTAACTGGTAATATTTTGTGGAAGAATATTGCTTATTATTATCATATTTAATACAGTAGAGGTATGTTTTAAATAACTGTATAATTAAGTCTTTTATTCATTTTTTTGGTGAATGGGTCAGAATTGTATTTGACAAATAATTACAGTTGACTATTCATCACTTAACTACAATTGGGTGGGAAGCTTTCTTCACAGATATTTTCTGTGGAAAATCTGTATTTTCACAAGGGGTTAGTGGTTCTATTGAAGGTCTAGTAACTAACTATGAGATAATGTGAGCTATTTGAGAAAAAAGAAAAAGGAGGTTAAATTGAAGGAAACTATAGGAGCTACCCCTAGAATACTAGACAGTTGTTACCGTTCATTGTGTTATCTTTCCTAAATCAGATATTTTGCATACATAATAAAATTTGCTGTTGATCATTTTTAAAAAAGGTGTTGTTTCTATGAAAACTGAAGAGGAGTGTCAGATTAGAGTAGTAGTATCTGAAGGAGGAGGATGCACAGTTCAAGAGCCCTGTCCCACTTCACCCAGCATGACCTTCAGCATGATATTGATTCCTGACTCCTTCACTTACCATATTGGAGCCATGGGCTGCCTTCTCATTGACCTATCTGGTTTTGTTTTCTGAGTGAGAGAAAAATATAGCAACACCAGTAACAAGTTCAAAGATACTTTACTGTCTTATAACATTAGTTCCAACATGAAAAATATGCCAGGACCTATTCTATTTTCTTTTAAGCATCCCAAATGAGATACAGACATAAACTTATGAAATAATTTATATACTCATAAAACAAAAAACATGGTGACTATCACTCAGACTTTAATTATAGTTTGAATATATTTTCTTTTTCCACACAGGGCTAAATTTAGGATTGAGTGACAATTTGATGCAGGAATATCAGAAGCTGTGGAACGCAGTCTTAACACTATCAGGGGGTGATAACTTTGGGAGACTCATGCCCTTGAGGACAACATCCAGACCATTTCTTACACAGGAAGACCCATGTCACCAAGAAGTGCTGACAATGTTTTCAAGTTGATCTCATTCAGGACAGAAAAAGATTAGCTGTATAATCCTTGTATAGAAAATAAATCTTGCCCATTAAAGTTTTTTCTTTTTGCAGCATTGGTCCTGCTGATTAGCTGCCATACCTATAGCACCTTCTTTGTCTTCCTCTTGTTTTCTTTGTTTATTTGAGTGAGAACATGAGAAAGGGAGCTAATATTTATTAAGCACCCATTCTGTCAGGTATTGTGCTTTGCCCTTCACATGATATTTGAATTTGGTTTTCAAAACAGCCCCACTCATATTAGTCTCATTCTCATTTAACAGATAAGATTTTGGGAAGTTGTCTTAAATCACAGAGCAAATTCATGGTAGAGAGAAGATTTGGATGCAAGTCTGTCTGTCTCCACAGCCAGACAAGGAAGATATCTTGTAGTACTATCTTTTGTGTATTTTCTATAAAAAGTAATAGTTTTGCTAAAGCATATTTGCAGAAACCAGCTTGTATTTAAATAGATCTCAGGGGATTGTGATTGAGAGATTAGACCAGGCTGTTTATGTAGAAAAACTGTATTTGGGATTTAAATGAAATATATAAAGGTTCTTTAAGTTTCAACTATTCAGAGATACAGAATTAACTTTATTACTTTTCATCTTATTAATACTGATGATTAAATTTAGAAAATTTTTATAAACTTTACAACTTGCTTCCTTTGGTCTATGGAAAAAATAGGTATATTTCTTACTGTGGCTCAGAATAAATACTTGACTTTTCCAGCTTGCATGGTGATCTTTTGACATTTCTCAAATGTGTTCAACTGCAGTTGAAAGGAAATTCTACATCAGTTCACTCAATATATTTTCCATTTTTTACTTTTCTTTTTTTTTTTTAAATTTTTTATTGTTATTGCATTATTTGTTTCAGAGGTACAGATCTGAGATTCAACAGTCTTGCACAATTCAAAGCGCTTACCACAGCACATA